GCTTGGATGGGAGCAAATTAAGGAGGCCTAGGCTAGGGTCATAATACAATTGCATTATTGCCATCTCTCAAACTCAAGAAGCCTTCCCATTTTCTCTTATCTTCTCTTATTTCTCATTCTCACTCACTCTCACTTCTCTCTTTCTCTCCCTCACCCCCTCTCTCTCTCACGCCCTCTTCTTGCCATCACCGCTTGCCGCCGTGCCATCCACCGCCGTGCCGCCGTCTGCCAGTCTTCGCGCCGTCCTCATCGATGTGCAGCCGTCCGCTGCCGCCGCACCACCGTGATGCCGTCGCCGTTCGTCCGTCATCGTCCGTAGTCCAACCGGTTTAGTAAGTAATTATTCTTATCCGTAGATAGGATGTTATTCTACGCGTTTCGGACCTAGGTTGAGTCTTATACGAGCCTGTTCTACCATGACATTGCTTGTGCCGTAGGTAGATCATCTATACCTTGGTTCGGACTTGATTCAACGTAGTTGGATTAAGTTTCGAGTTTAGATTCCGTGATTGTTAGGGTTGATTGTTGCTTGTTCTAGGAGAGGAAGCCTGTATAACAATTTTGTATGGTTTGCTCATGAAATGTTTTCGCTATTCTTGTTCTCGTCAGTAATTGCCATGTGAAATTACATGTTTTCTTGAAGCACGTTTATGTTATGGGGATCAAGGTGAAGTGTATGTGCTCATGTGATTGTTTGGTGTAATATAGGTCTCATGTTGTTACATAGTTATGAGTTTATGAGAAACCGACGTTATATGTCATCTTGCGTGTGTCCATCTTTACAAGGGAGGTTTGTAAATGAAGTGTGTGCAATTTCGCATGTCGAAGGATTGCGATTGTTCACGTGTGATTATTTTCGTGCATTTTTATGTGTACGGGATTTTAGATGTTCTAACCGTGTGAGCATTAAACACTTTTGCATTGGCCTAAGTGAAAGACAATAATTGGCTTGAGTGCTTGATATGCTTGTGTAATCACATAAATGGTTCCGTATCCGTATGATTGCGGAAGACGATGCCCGATGGATTTCGATTGCCATTCGCGGATAGATGTCGAAACGATGCTCTTGAGTGAATGCCATCTTCGAGTGAGGTCGAGATGTTGCCATGCCCAATGGGGCAGGATGATGCCCGGTTACGCCGGAAGACCACCGACTGGAGTGTTGGTTGTGGCCGTGAGTGGTCGTAATAATCGGAACACGTGTGGATGCATTCTGCATGAATATGTGATATGAAGTGTTCTAGATTACAATGTGTAATTGCCGCATGCCAATTGGAAGCGAGGCTTCACGTGTGATTATTTGTATGAATTGTATGTGCCGACAGGAGGTAAGAATTCACGTGTGATTATTTGATTGTGTTTTGGCATGCCGAGAAGATGGGGTTATCTTTCATGTATATAAATAAGGCAAAGCATTTGCTTTGCTATTAAACTGACATCGATTTGTTAAGTCCTATGTTTGGTGTGTTTTCGAGACAAGGTATCCTCCTATACGAGGCTTAGAGGGCTTACTTATTGAGTTTTACTCATTTGTTATTGTTCACTTCTTTTCAGACTCGTAAATATGAATAGCCGATTCGTCCATTTTGGTTACCCCGTTACTAGGGATGTGGACGTTATCGAGATCGTGGTAGCGAGGAGTGATCTTTACTTATAATAAGTGTACCACTACGGTATGGGTGGATGAGGGCCTAGAACACTTGGTTCCCCATCGTTTGTGGCCTGGTTCGTATGGTTCGATGGGGATATCTTCGGTCCTCTTCGTGGGTTCGACGAACCCCCAGGTGACCTTGGCGGAGCCCTAATGAACCCCATGGCGGGGAATCCTCCGGATGGCACCGTGAGTGACCCCAAGCCCGACGCGGACTATGATCCTGAGCCCGAACCATAGAGAATCGATCTCCTGTGGTGGAACCACTTTTTGGAAGCCACTCTCGTAAATAGAGGAGCTAGGTCTAACCCCGGCCTCTTTTGATTGAATCGGAAAAAGGCCCGTAGTAGCGGATTTGTATTTAGCTAACGTCCGATTGTTGACGATGCATATATATATATATATATATATATATATATATATATATATATCAACTGTGCTTTTGTGTATATGTTTTTCATGCTATCCCTTTTATGTTGTTGGTTGAGAGATATTGAATTCGCTTCCGCATATGCTTAATTGAAAGATAAAATGGATGGGTCGGCGATGTCTCCTGGGACGGTGCAATTCAATGACCTCGCGGGTGTCGTGCGCCCGAGGCTCGGGGAGATCGGGTATGGGGAATGACAGAAGGTCTCTCTATACTTTGCTAAGTAGTCAAAGGCAGGATTAGGTGTGTTCACAACTTCATTGCAGGCTCTCTCTTCGCTTTTAGTTCCTAATTCATCCTTAAATCTCTCTACTCTCAATGTGTCTATATTGTATTTGCCTTTTCCATTTGGTATGGCAGAATTCTTTTGGCTGATAGCTTGTAGAAATTTGACTTAAATTTGTTGGATTCATGTTCATGCCTACTGTCCATATCCATTCGTTGTTCAAACAACAATCACCAAGGCTTGTCTATGTTTAGGAATGGAAGGTAGCAATTTCAGTCAACTCAAGGAAGGAAAGCAAAGAGAGACTGACGTGTATGGACAATAGATGAAGAAAATGTGTTTCTAGATGGTCATGAATAACTAGTTGCGCGAGGAACAGCTTCTCCAAGAGATGATAGATGGGAAAGACTAATGATTTGTTTTCTGAATGTGCTATTTCTCGTGAAGTTTGGAGCTTGGTTTATAGTTTTCATGGTATTCAGTGAGTCAAGTAGAGTAGGAGCGATGAGTCGCAATACGTTTGTAAGAGTTGGAAAGAGAAAGTTGCCTTTGTTGTTTTATGAAAATGAACAACGTCGAACAATGTTCTTTTCACTATTTATTGGAATAATATGTTTTCTGAACGTGCTATTTCTTGTGAAGTTTAGAGCAATGTTCATATGTTCTTTTTTCAACCCGGCTTTTTCCAATAGTGCATTTTTTGTCATTTTTGGCAAAGAATAGTTTATAATAAAGTTAAATCACACAAAGATATTTTTATGATTATAAGATATGATATTATTTTATGGGTAGGGGCATATATGTCATTTACATTGATATCCGGTTTCTACCAAATAACAGATAGGATATGACAAAATCCCAGAATTTCTTATCCTATCCTATCCAGTCCTATCCTGACTAGAAACCCAGATGACCAAACACAGCCTAAATGCACGTGACTCGCTCAGTACTCGAAGCTCAAAGTTTGTATTAGTATCAATTTTTAAGTGCCATTTAGTCTTTTGAATTAATTATCAGGATGGTGATCATCTTTTTCTTCAAGGAATGCTGGTGACCCTCATACATGTGGTTATTTCGCAGATTGTAGGGGACCATATGTGGGCAATTGTATATCTCATCTCTGATGGAGTGATCCCGTCGAACATAAGAAGAGGATATGTAGTTAGGCGTCTTATTCGGAGGGTTGTACGGACTGGCAGGTTACTAGGACTAAAGGGGTGATGGCAGAGAAAATCTTGAAGGGGCATTTTTACCATGACTTCTGCATCAGACCAATTTAGATGGAAGGCTCACTTGTCACTTGGACGGACAAGAAAGAATTGGTGAAATCAAATGCTAGAGGACAATTCTGTACACTGAAGATACATCGTACACATGCATTAAGGTCAAAGTAGAAGTAGCATGTGATGAACACAACCTACCAACGGGCGGGAATTAGACCGACGCATTTTCTGATTTGTCCGAAGAAACTTGGTGGGACCGATTCCATGGAACCAATGAGCAGTTCCCAATTCCAATTCGGAACTGGTCCTTAGTGGATGATTCCCGATTCTAGGATGGGAACTGCCCATCCGGACCATGCTCACCCCTACTAGATGAGGGCTTGGCAGCCCTTGCCCGATGCCCTAGCTAACCAAAGTTAGCTGGTTAGGGCCGCGACGAACTCGCCAGCCAAAGCGAGGGCGTGCGAGCCATCGCTAGCCCCGATCGAGGATATTGCGGCCCTCGCTAGAGCTGGTGAGGATCCCCGACCATCACTCCAAAAACCAAAAAATAAATAAATAAATAAAAAGGTCAAAAATATTAGTAGAATAGTTCGGCCGGCACTAAGAACTTGGCTCTTTGCTCGGTCCAGTTAAGTTTCTACTTGATCTCGTGGAATGACAATCAAACAATTTCGGAAACTAATAAGAAACTGCTCGTGACTATTAAATTGATCACCAACTCTCTTTACGTGTTAAAATGGAATTTTACGTCTGTCTTTTTCCAAGCATGAAATATTCTTTTGAGGACATTGCCCCTTGCAACTCGAAGATAACGATGGCATCCCCTTCTTGTGTTCTTATCTGGTGACTGCCGAACAATGCCTCAGATATTATAATCTCCCGGCAAATGAAATGCAAAGGGAATCAAGCGGTTATGATCATAGGTTCCGTTTGTTTTCTGAAAAAAAAAAACGATTGGATAATATTTTTTGAGAAACGATCGTTTGTATCGCTTACGAAAATACATTAACGCAAAATATTTAGACATAAATTATTGTCGATAATGATAAGATTTTTCAATGACTAATTATTTCAAGCAAGACAATCAATTATATTTTTTAAAATTATTTTTCAAATTATTTTTTTCGCGAAACAAAGCAACCTTAAATTCGGTAACTGTGCATACAATGTTCTGTGTCATTTGTACGTCCCTGCAGCTAATGAGCATTACTTAAACCCTTTTCACCCAAGACTTGGAGGGAATGGTGTGCTGCTCTGCTCAGCCAGATGCAGAAAGGAATATGGATTTGTTTTTTCCCTTGTGAATTTGCGTCTCTCATCAACTTTTCATCGATGGACGTGGATAAGATGAACTCTTCTCCGGGGTTGGACTGTGTTAATAAATAAAACTACATTTTGTGGAGGAGTCATGTTATACAACTTTCTGTCTGACTTTCCCTCTTACTGAATACTTGATCTTGCCTCCCCTTTTCTCTCTCAACTTTGGCTTGCCTGAAGAAATAGAAGCACATACAAGTTACTGCTCAAGTTCTCTGTCTCTCTGCTTCCACATACACGTAAATATGGACCAGATAGAAGAACTAGAAGAAGTGGACAATATAGTCCCAGTTAGCAAACTCTCCTGCGATCACCGCTGCTGTCGATCGCCGGATCGCCGCACCCTGGTGTCCACCTTGCAAACCTCCACTGCCGGTCTCCGGAAACCACCTTCAGTTCATTGGCAGAATCACTACGACCTTCTTGACTGGCTCTCCTTCTTCTTTGGCTTCCAGGAGGACAACGTTCGGAATCAGCGTGACCACCTTGTCCTCCACCTCGCCAACCACTACTTGTGCGGCGCTGAAACACCGCAAGACAACGTCATTTCGCTCGACCCTAGAGCCCTCCTCTGTTTCCGTGAGAAGCTGCTCCAGAACTATGAGGATTGGTGCTGTTTCTTGGGGAAGATGTCCGAGGTAAGGTTGATTGATGGTCGTGGTAACTCTGGAACAAATTGTCATGAACTTTTGTATGTCTCTCTCTATCTCCTCATCTGGGGCGAGTCCGCTAACTTGCGGTTTTTGCCCGAATGCATTTGTTATATATTTCACAACATGGCAACGGAGTTGAATATGGTCTTGAAAGATCACGTTGATCAGAACACGGGGTGTCCTAATTTGCCAGAAAATTCAGGGGAAAATGCATTCTTGAATGGTGTTGTGAAGCCCCTTTATGATGTTGTTCACATGGAGGTTATAAAAGGCCGTAAGGGGATTGACCCGGATAACGAATGGAGGAATTATGATGATATCAACGAGTACTTCTGGAGCAGAAGGTGCTTTGAGGAGCTGAAGTGGCCTTTGGATGCGAGGAGTAGATTTTTCAAGAATGCGGGCAAGGCTGGTTTTGTTGAACGAAGGTCATTTTGGAACTTGTTCAGGAGCTTCTATAGGCTGTGGCTGATGTTAGTTTTATTCCTTCAAGCGGCAATTATCATTGCTTGGGAGGAGGAGTACAAGTTCCCTTGGCAGGCCTTGCCAAATAAGGAGGTACAAGTTCGGGTTTTGAGCGCATTTGTGACTTGGAGTGGTTTGCACCTTCTGGAGTCACTGCTCAATTCCGTCATGCAATGGGGTTTGGTCTCGAGAGAGACATGGTGGATTGGCATGCGCATGGTGCTGCGGAATGTCATTGCAGTGATGTGGACCGCTGCTTTGGGATGGTTTTATGTAAGGATTTGGTTACAGAGGAACGAGGACGGGGAGTGGTCTGCTAAGGCTAACAAACGGCTTATGCTTTTTCTCGAATTGGCTTTGGTATCTGTTCTTCTTAAGCTCTCGGCATTTGCTCTGTCCTATGTTCCCTCCTTCGACAATTTCCTTGTTCGGAAGAATTGGAGGATGTGCGAGTTGCTGACGAGCCGGACTTTTGTGGGACGTGACTTGAGGGAAGGTACGAGGGAGTATGCAAAGTATGCCATGTTCTGGGTATTGGTTCTTGCGACGAAATTTCTTTTCAGCTACTTTCTACAGATCCAACCCATGATTAATCCTACAAAAGAGTTGTTGCAACTTAGGAATGTAGATTCTATATGGAATCAGTTTTTTTACCACAGCAATGGCCTTGCCATTGGGATGTTGTGGTTTCCCATGGTCTTGATTTATATGATGGATTTGCAAATCTGGTATTCGATTTGGACATTCCTGGTTGGAGTGGCAGTTGGGCTGTTCTCGAGGTTGGGTGAAATCCAGAACAATCAGCATTTGAGGTTGCGGTTTGACCATTTTGTTCGTGAAGTTGCAAACAAGTTTAATCTCGTAGGGCAGGAGGAGCTGTTATACGAGAGGGAGTCAATGAGAAGCAACAAATTCAGTTTCATCAAGTTGTTAAATCCAAGCAACTGGGTTTCTCCGCGCTTTAAGAAACTCGATCATAACCATATTTTGGTGTGTAAGTTTGCTGTGATGTGGAATGAGATTATTAGGACTTTCAGGGAGGAGGATATCATCTCGGATCGAGTAGTTGAGTTGTTGGAGCTGCCAAAAATTTATTGGACATCCCGTGTTATAAGCTGGCCCTACTTTCTGCTCTCCAACGAGCTGCTCTTTGCGTTAAGTGAGGTGTGTCGACTGGCAGATGCTCCTGATGCTCGGCTCTGGTACAAGATATGCAAGAATGAGTATAGGCGTTGTGCTGTCATTGAAGCTTATGACAGTGTCAAGCATTTATTACTTGAGATATTAAGAAATGACGTTGAGGAGCATTCTATTGTTACTGCTTTGTTTGGTGAAATTGATCATTCACTGCAAATCGGAAAATTCAGTACAATGTTTGACATGACTGTGCTACCAAAGATTCATGCAAGTTTAATCCGTCTTGTTGAATTGTTGAACAGGTCTAATGTAGATCCTGATCAAGTGGCGAGTACTTTACAGGCCCTTTATAACATTGTTATTTTAGACTTTTTCAAGCAAAAGAGAAGCTATCAACAGTTGAAGGGGGATGGTTTGGCTCCATGTAATCGTTTTCCCCATGCGGGGTTGCTCTTTCAGAATGCTGTTCGGTTGCCGAATTCTGGAGATGGAATTTTCAGTCGGCAAATTCGACGCCTGCAGATGATTTTAAAGACTAGGGATTCGCTGCAAAATATTCCCGCAAGTGAAGAGGCTCGAAGGCGAATTACCTTCTTCTGCAATTCTCTATTCATGGATCTTCCACGAGCTCCTTCAGTTGAGAGAATTAAAGCTTTCAGCGTTTTAACCCCTTACTATGATGAAGAAGTGCTATATAGCAAGGAAGAACTGCTAAAAGAGAATGAAGATGGGATTTCCATTTTATTTTACCTGCAGACGATTTACAACGAAGATTGGCAGAACTTCATGGAGAGGATGCACCGGGAAGGAATGGGGTCTCCTGATCAGATTTGGACAACCAAGCTGCGTGATTTCCAGCTTTGGGCATCATACAGAGGTCAGACGCTCGCTCGTACAGTCAGGGGAATGATGAATTATGTCAAGGCCCTGAAGTTGCTCGCGTTTCTTGAATACCATCCTGAAATATATTTCTCCCAAGGGCTTCAGGAGCCGGGTTCCACAATGCTAGATGGCAATGCAGATTGTGTCGACATGTCGAGTTTGCTCTCTGAAGGTTGTGCCTGTGAACGTGGTATTGCTGTCATGAAATATTCCTATGTTGTTGCCTGTCAGCAGTATGGATATCAGAAGGCCAAAAGCGATCCCAAAGCAAAAGATATACTGTATTTGATGAAAAACAATGAAGCCCTACGCATAGCATATGTTGATGAGGTGAGTGGAAGTAGGGGTGAAAATGAGTATTTCTCCGTTCTGGTCAAGTATGACAGACAGTCAGAGCAAGAAGTCGAAATATACAGAATCAAGTTGCCTGGTCCCTTCAAGCTAGGAGAAGGTAAACCGGAAAATCAGAATCAGGCCATTATCTTCACACGTGGCGATGCCATTCAGACGATTGATATGAACCAAGACAACTATTTAGAGGAGGCGCTTAAGATGCCGAATTTGTTGGAGGAATTTGAGAGACTCTATGGTACGCGGAATCCCACTATTCTAGGTCTGAGAGAACATATATTTACTGGTTCAGTTTCATCGCTTGCTTGGTTCATGTCTGCTCAGGAAACAAGTTTCGTTACCTCGGGACAGCGTGTTCTGGCGAACCCTTTGAGGGTTCGAATGCACTATGGTCATCCAGATGTTTTCGACAGGATTTGGTTCTTGACACGAGGTGGGATCAGCAAGGCTTCCAGAAAGATTAACATCTCTGAGGATATTTTCGCGGGCTTTAATTGCACATTGCGGGGAGGCAACGTGACACACCACGAGTACATCCAGATTGGCAAGGGGAGGGATGTTGGGTTGGACCAAATATCGATGTTCGAAGCCAAAATTGCGAGTGGAAATGGGGAACAAGCTCTCAGTAGAGATATATATAGGCTGGGTAGTAAGCTGGACTTCTTCCGGATGCTTTCGCTCTTTCATTCCACCGTTGGGTTTTACTTCAACAACATAATGGTGATTTGGACTATATATGCACTGTTGTGGGGGCGGTTGTATATGGCTCTCAGTGGCCTTGAAGCGACAGCTTTGGCAGACGAAGCAAACAACAAGAACTTCTTTGGTCCGGTTGTAAATATACAGTTCATCCAACTAATCCTTTTCACGGGCCTTCCAGCAGTTGTGGACAATTCAGTTGAGCACGGAATCCTGTCGGCTTTATGGGAATTCTTGGTAATGCAGCTTCAGCTTTCATCTGTCTTTTACACGTTTTCTATGGGAACTCGTAGCCACTTCTTTGGCAGGACAGTTCTTCATGGTGGCGCAAAGTACCGGGGAACTGGCCGTGGCTTTGCTGTGCAGCACAGGAGTTTTGCCGAGAATTACAGACTCTATGCCCGTAGCCATTTTGTCAAGGCCCTTGAGATTGCATTGGTTCTCGCTGTATACACAATTTATAGCCCTTTAGCTAGTGGCGCTTTCTCATTCATAGACACGAGCATTACGGGCTGGTTTCTGGTCGCGTCATGGATCCTTTCGCCTTTCATATTTAACCCATATGGTCTTGATTGGCTGAAGACGGTTAACGACTTCGACGAATTCATGATCTGGATTAGGACCCGAAGAGGCCTGTTTGTGAAGTCCACGCAGAGCTGGGAAACATGGTGGTACGAGGAGCAGGATCATTTTCAGAGGACGGGTTTCTGGGGGAAGTTTCTAGAGGTAATCCTGACCTTGCGCTTCTTCTTTTTCCAATATGGAATCGTCTACCATCTTCACATATCCTCTGGGAGTACCAGCCTTCTGGTTTACTTATTGTCCTGGATATACATAGCCGGGGCTTTTGCAATGTTTGTGGTGATATCCTTTGCTCGAGAGAAGTTTGCGACCCGACTTCACATTTATTATCGGCTTGTTCTGGGGGTCGCTATTGCTTTGGTGGCTCTAGCAATATGTGCCTTATTACAGTTTACGAAGTTTAAGCTGATTGACTTTTTCACTAGTCTGATGGCATTCATACCCACTGGCTGGGGAATCATTTCAATAGCCCAGGTGTTTAGGTCCACCATCGAAAGAACTAGGCTTTGGGACATTGTTGTTTCTGTGGCTCGACTATATGATTTCCTGTTTGGAGTGATTGTCATGGCGCCGGTCGCTGTATTAGCATGGCTTCCCGGGTTTCAGTCAATGCAAACGAGGATTCTGTACAACGAGGCGTTTGTTAGGGGAGTCAAGATAATCCAAATACTTATTGGGAAGCACGTCAAAGGAAAGGGTGACTTGTAATCCAAGGGGAATTAGAATGTGGAATCACTTATGAGATGTTCTCAGTCCCTCCTTTCCGCATTTACATTGCTTATGCGTTTCCTTTCGCACGAAATTAAGCGCACAAATCACAACCATCTTTGGGCCTCGAGTACTGTTATGGTTGGAGTTATGTACATCTTCATGCAGCCCACGACAGTTTCCCTTTTTTTTCCCCTAATGCTTGGGATTAGGTTGATTAGCTATGCATAATGTACATACTTGTACGCTTGTGACAAATTTACACACTATTAGTTTTCGTTAAATTTTACTGTTAAATTGCTGAGTTAGATGACACGTGGCAGTTAACGGGCGTACCAGTTTAGGGTTTTACTTTTCTTCTGTAACGGTTTGTGATTTTTCGTGGTATTAATCTAATTTAACAGAAACTAACGGATGATAAATTATCACAAATGTACCAATTTAGGGTTTTATGGTGGTCAAAAAATTAGTTTGTGGTAAATTTGTCACAGGTATACCATTTTAGAGATTTTTGTGATAAAAAAATTAGTTTGGGGTAAATTTGTCACATGTGTACCAAGTTGGGGTTTTCATGGTATTAACCTTATACTTAATTCAGTCTTATTTCTTTTAATTTTGCCAATTGAATCCTAAATCTTTTGTCAATTTGCTAGTCGAATCCATCTGGCTAAATTTAGTTGGAAATTGTTGACGCAAAGCCAACTGTTCTATGTGATATAGCTCACGCTGTCATGGACATTTTTAAATAATTTTATGAATTTTTTCAATTTTTCTTTACTTTTTTTTTATTTTAGAGTGATGAATGGCGACCCTTACCGATTGTGGGCAAGGGCTTGCCCTCGCTGTGGCCGTTGAGGGCCTGGGCGAGGGCGTGCAAGCCCTAGCTAGATTTGGGCCAAGTGAGGGCTAGGCCGCCCTCGCCTAGTCTGGGCGAGGACTCGCGTGCCCTCTCTTTGGCCAACGAGGGCCGCCAAGCCCTCGCCTAGTGCCCTCTCTTTGGCCAACGAGGGCCGCCAAGCCCTCGCCTAGTGCCCTCTCTTTGGCCAACGAGGGCCGCCAAGCCCTCGCCTAGTGGCCAATGAGGGTGTCGCGACCCTCGTCCAGAGCCAGCAAGGATCGCCGACCATCACTCCATAAACAAAAGAAAAGTAAAGAAAAGGAAACAAAAATCATAAAAATTTCAAAAAATTATTAAAATATTATTCAAAATGTTCACGTCAGTGTTGGCACTAAAAACTTGGGGTACTTTGGTAGGTCCAGTTATGATTCTACTTGAACTCATGGAATGACAATTAAAAAATTTCGGAAATTATTAGAGTTAATATCATGAAAAACTCCAAATCGGTACACTTGTAATAAATTTACCAAAAATTAATTTTTATCACAAAAAACTTCAAGCTGGTATATTTGTGACAAATTTACCTTTTGTTAGTTTCCGTTAAATTAGATTAATACAACAAAAAACCACAAACTTGTACACATATGACAAACGGAGGTTAAAACCCCAAATTGGTATACTCGTCAACTGCCACGTGTCATCCAACTCAGCAATTTGATGGTAAAATTTAACGGAAACTAACGGATGATAAATTTGTCACACGTATACCAGTTTAGGGATTTTGGCGGTCAAAAAATTAGTTTAGAGTAAATTTGTCACACGTGTATCAGTTTGGGGTTTTTCGTTGTATTAACCTAAACTAATAAAAAGCTGCTCGTGACTATTAAACTGATTACCAACTCTCATTATGCGTTAAAATGGAGTTTTAGTTCCGTCTTTTTCCTAGAAACTTGATTAAGAAGAAAATGGAGCTAGTATGAAATATTCTTTTGAGGACATTGCACCTTGCAACTTCGCCAAGAGTAATGGCTAATACCACGAAAAACTCCAAATTAATACACATGTGATAAATTTACCCAAAACTAATTTTTTGATCATAAAAAATCTCAAACCGGTAGATCTGTGACAAATTTACCCTTAATTAGTTTCTGCTAAATTTTATCGTCAAATTGCTGAGTTGGATGACACGTGATGTTTGACGGATATACCAGTTTGGGGTTTTACCCTCTGTTTGTCACAGATCTATCGGTTTGTAGTTTTTCGTGGTACTAATCCAATTTAATTGAAACTAACGGAGGGTAAATATATCACAAGTATACCAATTTGGGATGATGGTCAAAAAATTAGTTTAGAGTAAATTATTACGAGTGTACTAGTTTGAGATTTTTCGTGTATCAACCCTAGAAAATAATCTCCGGTTGACTTTGTGTGGATTGTTTCTCGAAGATAACAGCGGCATCCCTTTCTTGTGTTCTGATCTGATGACTGCTGGACAATGCCTCAGTGTTATAATCTCACCGGGAAATGAAATGCAAAGGGATCAATATATTATTGCCTAACAAAAGGTGAGCAATTTTAGATTCCTTAGAGGTTTCACCTAAAACCTACTCATCGGAACAAGTTCCTCATTTTTTGGAAACCAAAATCTAGCCTGCAGTTTGCCCAGGAACCTAGAATCTGGAACCTACCCTATCACAAATTCCAGAGTCTAACAGATTCCTTTTTTTCATTTTTTAGTTAAGAAAATGAAAGTGAACACAACAACAAAAATGAAAATTTCTCATTTATCAATACTAATAACAAATGATAAAAGATGAACACATAAAATAAAATAAATAATAAAAAGTTCAAAACACGAAACGTAAAAACTATATCATAAAATTTTGGTCCTCGATCATCCATGAAAATTTGCTTCAAACTCTAACCACCTGAAATAAAAAAAACAATAATCATAATTAATCACTTATTAATAATAGTTGGCTCCAAATAGTTAATCATGCATGAAAAATGTGTATGAGAGTCATCCACAGTGCTACTTTCATTTTGACTCTGACCGAACATCTCCATTTAGAGAGAGAGAGAGAGAGGACGGGAAAGTTTGAACGGACCTTTTTCTTTTATAGACACATCCCAATCAAGCGGCTGCAAAAAAAGCGAAGGTATGAGGTTCTGGAATACCCAGGAAATGCAGGGGACCCATGAAGCTTGTTTCTTTCTTAAAAAAAAAAGTATCTGTCCCTAGTCCCTTTTTCGTTCTGTCCTTACGCAGGAGATGCTGATGGTGTGGGAGGAAAAATTATCAATTGATTGATAAACCGAAATACAGATGCTTAGGTTATGCTAGCTTAAATGTGTTTTATTTTCATAATCCCGAGCACAAGACTCGAAATGGAGTGAGAATTAACTCCCCGGTTCCCCCGATTCGGTTCTCGGTTCTCCATTCGGTTTCCCCGGGAACCGAGAACCAGCGATTCCCAAAGAAATGGAAATGGGAATCCGACCATGGCGCATTAGGACCTGAAATTGGACCAGTGACCTTGGAACCATGCTCATACTACGCCTAACTTGTTTCACCAGTTCAAATATATAATTTATAAAGAAGTAGCAAAGAAGTAGCAGCACACGTGTTTTTATGAACTTAGATTTGGTAATTCGTGCATTCAATGTTCTGTGCTATCGGTACCTTCCAGCAGCTACTGAGCTTTACTTAAACCCTTTTCACTCAAGACTTGGAGGGGAATGTTGTGCTGCTCTGCTCAGCCAGATGCAGAAAGTAATATGGATTTTTTTTTCCCTTATGAATTTGCGTCTCTCATCAACTTTTCATCGATGGACGTGGAAAATATGAGCTCTTCTCCGGGGTTGGATCGTGTTGATAAAATATAACTACGTTGTGTGGTGGAGTCATGTCATGCAGCTTTCTGCCTCACTTTCCCTCTTGCTGAATACTGATCTTTATCTCCCCTTTTCTATCTCAACTTTGGCTTGCCTGAAGAAATAGATGCACAGGCAAGTTACTGCTTAAGTTCTCTGTTTCTCTGCTTCCACATACACGTAAACATGGACCAGATAGAAGCAGAACTAGAAGAAGAAGAAGTGTACAATATAGTCCCAGTTAGCAAACTCTCCTGCGAACACCGCTGCCATCGATCGCCGGATCTCTATACCCTGGTGTCCACCTTGCGAACCTCCACTGCCGGTCTCCGGAAACCACCTTCAGTTCATTGGCCAGATCACTACGACCTTCTTGACTGGCTCTCTTGCTTCTTTGGCTTCCAGGAGGACAACGTTCGGAATCAGCGTGAGCACCTTGTCCTCCACCTGGCCAATCACTACTTGCGCGGTGCCGAAACACTGCGAGACAACGTCATTTCGCTCGACCCTAGAGCCCTCCGCTGTTTCCGTGAGAAGCTGCTCCGGAACTACGAGAATTGGTGCTGTTTCTTGGGGAAGAAGTCCGAGGTAAGGCTGATTGATGGTCGTGGTAACTCTGGAACAATTTGCCATGAACTTTTGTATGTCTCTCTCTACCTCCTCATCTGGGGCGAGTGTGCTAATTTGCGGTTTCTGCCCGAATGCATTTGTTATATATTCCACAACATGGCAAGGGAATTGAATATGGTCTTGGAAGATCATGTCGATCCAAACACTGGGCGCCGAATTTTGCCTGCAGGGGAAAATGCGTTCTTGAATGGTGTTGTGAAGCCCCTTTATGAGGTTGTTTGCGCGGAGGTTGAAATAGGCTGTAATGGGATTGCCCCACATAATGAATGGAGGAATTATGATGACATAAACGAGTACTTCTGGAGCAGAAGGTGCTTTGAGGAGCTGAAGTGGCCTTTGGATGAGAGTAGTAGATTTTTCAAGAATGCAGGCAAGACTGGTTTTGTTGAACGAAGGTCGTTTTGGAACTTGTTCAGGAGCTTCTATAGGCTGTGGCTGATGTTAGTTTTATTCCTTCAAGCGGCAATTGTCATTGCTTGGGAGGAGGAGTACAAGTTTCCTTGGCAGGCCTTGCCAAATAAGGAGGTGCAAGTTCGGGTTTTGAGTGCATTTGTGACTTGGAGTGGTTTGGACCTTCTGGAGTCGCTGCTTCATTCCGTCATGCAATGGGGTTTGGTCTCTAGAGAGTCGTGGTGGATCGGCATGCACATGGTGCTCACAAATGTCGTAGCAGCGACGTGGACCGCCGTTTTGGGATGGTTTTATGTAAGGATTTGGTTACAGAGGAACGGGGATGGGGAGTGGTCTGCTGAGGCTAACAACCGGCTTGTGCTTTTTCTCAAATTGGCTTTTGTATTTGTCCTTCTTAAGCTCTCAGCATTTGCTCTGTCCTATTTTCCCTCCTTTGGCAACTTCCTTGTTCGAAAGAATTGGAAGATGTGCGAGGTGCTGATGAGCCGGACTTTTGTGGGACATAACTTGGGGGAAGGTATGAGGGATTATGCAAAGTACGCCATGTTTTGGGTATTGGCTCTTGTGACAAAATTCCTTTTCAGCTACTTTCTACAGATCCAACCGATGATTAATCCTACAAAAGAGTTATTGCATCTTAGGAATGTAAATTATAAATGGCATCAGTTTTTTGACAACAGCAATGGCCTTGCCATTGGGTTGTTGTGGTTTCCCATGGTCTTGATTTATATGATGGATTTGCAGATCTGGTATTCGATTTGGACATTCCTGGTTGGAGTGGCGGTTGGGCTGTTCTTGAGGTTGGGTGAAATCAGAAACAATCAGCACTTGAGGTTTTGGTTTGACCATATTATTTGTGAAGTTGCAAATAAATTTAATCTCATACGACAGGAGCAGCTGCTATATGAGGGGGAGTCAATGAGAAGCAACAAATTCAGTTTCATCAAGTTGTTAAATCCAAGCAACTGGGTTTCTCCGCAATTTAAGAAACTCGAATGTAACCAGCTTTTGGTGCGTAAGTTCGCCGTGATGTGGAATGAGATTATTAGGACTTTCAGGGAGGAGGATATCATCTCGGATCGAGAAGTTGAGATGCTGGAGCTGCCATATATTTCTTGGACATCCCGAGTTATAAGCTGGCCCTATTTTCTGCTCTCCAACGAGCTGCTCTCTGCGTTGAGTGAGGTGTGTCGACTCGTGGATGCTCCTGACGCTTGGCTCTGGTACAAGATATGCAAGAACAAGTATAGGCGTTGTGCTGTCATCGAAGCTTATGACAGTGTCAAGCATTTATTACTTGAGATATTAAGAAATGACGTTGAGGAGCATTCTATTGTTACTGCTTTGTTTGATGAAATTGATCATTCGCTGCAAATCAGAAAATTCAGTGAAATGTTTGACATGACTGTGCTACCAAAGATTCATGCGACTTTAATCCAACTTGTTGAACGGTTGAACAAATCTGTTGAAGATCCTGATCAAGTGGTGAGTACTTTTTTTGATCGGGAGGATCGAAAGAGACAAGTGGTGAGTACTTTACAGGCCCTTTATAACGTTGTTATTCTCGACTTTTTCAAGCAAAGGAGAAGCTATGAACAGTTGAAGGAGGATGGTTTGGCTCCAAGTAATTCTCGTTCTCATGAGGGGTTGCTATTTGAGAATGCTGTTGAGTTGCCGAATTCTACAGATGGAATTTTCAGTCGGCAAATTCGACGCCTGCAGATGATATTAATGCCTGTGGGTTCGTTGCAAAATATTCCCGCAAGTGAAGAGGCTCGAAGGCGAATTGCCTTCTTCTGCAATTCTCTATTCATGGATCTTCCACGAGCTCTTCCAGTTGAGAGAATTAAAGCTTTCAGTGTTCTAACCCCTTACTATGATGAAGAAGTGCTATATAGACTGGAACAACTGCAAAAAAAGAACGAAGATGGGATATCCATTTTATTTTACCTGCAGACGATTTATGGCAACGACTGGTACAATTTCATGGAGAGGATGCGCCGGAAAGGAATGGAGTCTCTTGATGAGAATTGGACAACCAAGTTGCTTGATCTCCAGCTTTGGGCATCATACAGAGGTCAGACGCTTGCTCGTACAGTCAGGGGAATGATGAATTATTTCAAGGCCCTGAAGTTGCTAGCTTTCCTTGAATACCATCACGATATGGATTTCTCCCAAGGGCTACAGGAGCCGGGTTCCCCAATGCTAGATGACAATGCGGATTGTTTCAGGACGAAAAATTTGCTTTCTGAAGGTTGTGCCTGTGAGCGTGGTATTGCTCTCATGAAATATGTCTATGTTGTTGCCTGTCAGGAGTATGGATCTCAGAAGGCAAATAGAGATCCCCGAGCAGGAGATATGTTGTTTTTAATGAAAAACAATGAAGCCCTACGCGTAGCATATGTTGACGAGGTGAGTAAAAGCAGGGGTGCAAAAGAGTATTTTTCCGTTCTGGTGAAGTATGACAGGCAGTCACAGAAAGAAGTCGAAATATACAGAATTAAGTTGCCCGGTCCCTTCAAGCTAGGAGAAGGTAAACCGGAAAATCAAAATCAGGGCATTATCTTCACACGTGGCGATGCAGTTCAGACGATCGATATGAACCAAGACAACTATATAGAGGAGGCACTTAAGATGCCGAATTTGTTGGAGGAATTTGAGAGGCTCTATGGTACCCGGAATCCCACCATTCTAGGTCTGAGGGAACATATATTTACTGCTTCAGTTTCATCGCTTGCCTGGTTTATGTCTGCTCAGGAAACAAGTTTTGTTACCTCCGGACAGCGTGTTCTGGCCAATCCTTTGAAGGTTCGAATGCACTATGGCCATCCAGATGTTTTCGACAGGATTTGGTTCTTGACGCGAGGTGGGATCAGCAAGGCTTCCAGAAAGATCAACATCTGCGAGGATATTTTCGCGGGATTTAATTGCACCTTGCGTGGAGGCAACGTGACACACCATGAGTACATCCAGATTGGCAAAGGGAGGGATGTTGGGTTGAATCAAATATCGATGTTCGAAGCCAAAATTGCGAGTGGAAGTGGGGAACAAGCTCTCAGCAGAGATATATATAGGCTGGGTAGTAAGCTGGACTTCTTCCGGATGCTTTCACTCTTTCATTCCACTGTTGGGTTCTACTTCAATAACATAATGGTGATATGGACTATATATGCAATGTTGTGGGGGCGGTTGTATATGGCTCTGAGTGGCCTTGAAGGTCCTGCTATGGCAGACAAAGCAAACAACAAGAACTTCTTTCGTCCGGTTGCAAATATACAGTTTATACAACTTATCCTGTTCACGGGCCTTCCAGCGGTTGTGGACGATTCGGTTGAGCACGGAATCCTCTCGGCTTTGTGGGATTTTTTGTTAATGCAGCTTGAGCTTTCATCTCTCTTTTACACGTTCTCTATGGGAACTCGTAGCCACTTCTTTGGCAGGACAGTTCTTCATGGTGGTGCAAAGTACCGGGGGACTGGCCGAGGCTTTGTTGTGCAGCACAGGAGTTTCGTTGAGAATTACAGACTCTATGCCCGTAGCCATTTTGTCAAGGCCCTTGAGATTGCACTGGTTCTCACGGTATACACGATCTATAGCCCTTTACCTAATGGCACGTTCTTATTCATAGACACGAGCATTACGGGCTGGTTTCTGGTCGCATCATGGATCCTCTCCCCTTTCATATTTAACCCTTACGGTCTTGATTGGTTGAAGACAGTTAACGACTTCGATGAATTCATGAGCTGGATAAGGTACCGAGGAGGCCCGTTTGTGAAATCCACGCAGAGCTGGGAAACATGGTGGTACGAGGAGCAGGACCATTTGCAGACGACAGGTGTCTGGGGGAAGTTTTTAGAGATAATCCTGACATTGCGCTTCTTCTTTTTCCAATATGCGATCGTTTACCATCTTCACATTTCCTCTGGGAGTGCCAGCGTTCTGGTTTACTTACTGTCCTGGACATATGTAGCCGGGGCTTTTGCAATGTGTGTGGCGATATCCTTTGCTCGAGAGAAGTACATGACCCGGAATCACCTTTGCTATCGGCAAGTTCTGTTGGCCGCTGCTGTTTTGGTGGCTCTAACATTATATGCCTTGTTGGAGTTCACGAAATTTACGCTGATTGATCTTATCACTGGTCTGCTGGCATTCTTACCCACTGGCTGGGGAATCATTTCGATAGCCCAGGTTTATAGGTCCTCTATCCAAAGAACTAGGCTTTGGGACATTGTTGTATCCTCGGCTCGATTATATGATTTCTTGTTTGGAGTGATTGTCATGGCACCGGTCGCAGTACTAGCATGGCTTCCTGGGTTTCAGTCAATGCAAACGAGGATTCTCTACAATGAGGTGTTTGTTAGGGGAGTCCAGATGTCCCAAATACTTACTGGGAAGAAGGTGAAAGGAATGGGTAACTTGTAATCCAAGGGGCATTAGAATGTGGAATCTCTTATGATATGTTTGCAGTCCCTACTTTCTGCATTTACATTGCTTGCTATTTACTCTGTAACAAAATTATGCAGACAAATTGCAACCATCTTTGGGCCTCCACTACTGATATGGTAGTAGTTATGTACATCTCCATGCACCCCATGATAGGTTACCTTGTTTTTTTCCTAATGCTTGGGATTGGCTCTGCATAAAGTACAAAATATCGGTCCATTGAGCGAACTAAGTTCCAAATTCCAATGGATGTTACAAATTCCAACCGACGCTTATGCATTATGTTACAAACTAAGTTCCATAACATTTGACCCACCCTATCGGCAACATTCTTTCAAACATGCCATTTCTGTTTCCCTTTCAAGTGGCTTCGGCAGCTGATAGTTCCTATTATAGGGCAATGTTACGCTTCAATTCAACCGGAAAGCATCGTTAAATTGTGGACTGATTGAAACTAGCCGAGCGTAGTGATTGATAGACATGGATACTCAATCAAGCTCAAGCTTAAGCTTGGAAGGCCTCTTCATATGGTTCAGACTGGGATATTAGTACCAGGTTGATAACTGAAACCTGTTCATGTAAAGTATCTTGGCTACGCCGCCGGTGATGCAGAGTTCACTTCTCCTAGATTTAACTTGTTCAAGTTGCCGACTTACGTGCTCCAACTTGTTTCATTTTGCGGCTTAATTGCCGCGGAGAAATGGATGAAATCTTCAGATTCATGGGATTGGGGGTATCTCTTGCAGGCAGTGTTGTGCATCTCTCTCTGAGCCTTCATAAACTGGCAGGCCCTTCAAGTGACGAGTTAAATAAGCTTTGCACGGATAGATCGCCGACCAGTTTCTCGCATCTCTCATCTCCATTGGCCTGAAATGCCATGTCGATTCCTGCTCGAATCGATCAAAAGAAAAAAAAAATCGGGAATTTCAGAGGAACATCGCTTCTGCCAGAATGATATAGAAAAACGCTAAAAGTCAGGTTCAACACAGGAGGTTACCATTGATGGACCTTTTGTATCATCTTGCACAAAACCTTGGAACCACATTTTTGCCTCCCAGTGACAAATATCGGAAGATTCAGAACAAGAAATAGAGAAGAGGAGAAGCAAAAAAGGGGAAGGAATTCCGTTGCCGGGACTTGAACCCGGGTCTCTCGGGTGAGAGCCGAGTATCCTAACCAACTAGACTACAACGGATTTGCTTTCCGAAGGTGTAAATAAATATATTTACCTTTTCTAAATTGTGTTTCATCTGACTTTGACCTCTTAACTTTCGGCGCACAATGTAAGGGTTAGGACGAGAGTGTTTCGATTGACACGGAGATCTCGAATCAAAAAGGCCAAAGCACAATTTCTGGCTTCATTTCTGCTTGGAACTGTTTGTAGCAACAAAAATGGAGAGAAGAAACAAATGAGTGTCGCCCCCGGCGAAGACGACGTTTGGGCACTCCGTCATGATGTTCTTTTCCTCGTTTCCACTGTCGAGAACATCTTTGTTCCTTAGCCTGTATGTACCATTCTACAAATTCTTATAATCACTGTCTTTTGGCATGCCGTGTTGTCTCCTCGTCGAGACTCATCTTGTCCCTGCCGATTGGTAAATTCCCCTAATTATCATTCCTCTTTTTGTGCTCGTAATGTCGACTGGAGCTTCCTTCGGCCGTCCATGCCGACAACAAAAACGCCAGCCGGACAAAACTCATGGAACATGCAAAAACAGGGCGGAAGAATGTGACGAAATTAATGCCGGAATTTTTTTTTTTATATGAATAAGGTGACAATTCATTTCGCGAAAAGCGAATGATTTGGAAAATGTATTTCTAAACACAATCGCTTATAATGCACCAACAAGACCAATCGCAGGGTATTTATATTTTTAGCAATGCCCACCGAGCAATCTCAACATGAGTCTTACGTGTATATTTTCAGCGTACGTCTTACCGATCCGATCCCTCCATTTTTCTTTTTGATGTTTGAGCCTGCAGTAGTTGCTTGTCTCGCGGCTCCTCATGGCCGTCAAGACTCGGGATCTCGACCTCGCCGGTCCTGGCCATGGACGAGCTGGTCGTGGCTAGATCTGAAGCGGGCTAGAGCTAGATTGGACGGCTCCTTTCATGGTGTGGAGCGTAAGGAAGGAGGGAAAGAGACACGAAAAGAGGGAGAGAGAGAGGGGAGGCGAAACGGAGGCCGGAAGAAATATGAGAAGTGGGCCCACTTGAGCACGTGGCAATTAACGAGTAGAGTAACTTGTAAAGCCGGACCTACTTAATATTTTCTTGCCTTGCCGGATGCGCAGACCAGTAACATGGGAAAAAAATCGATCCGCCCGTCCACCCTCGAGATGTCACGTCCCGCTCGGACATCATTAAATTACTCGGCCACGTCCCATAATTGAACTCTGCATCGCATGCTGATGCACTACCGGTCGGCCTTCCCCCAGGATTCACATGGGCGGGGGAGGGGGGCCAAAATTCCAGAAATATCTTTGTTTTTTTTTCTTTTTTTTTCAAAAAGAAGAAGAAAAATTTTGTGAGAAATGATTGTCTTGTTAATCACGATACCGTAACCGTCCGTGATTAATGTAATTAAAACGTGAAATTATTTGGGATTGCGACTTTTGGACTGGCACCGGGGGTTGACTTTTCGACACCCCGTGTACGTAGGAAGGAGCTGCGAAAGTGCCCAAAAGGATCGGGAGCGGGGTAATGGGATCTGATCAGGATTTGGATTTTCTTTCAAGGTGCTAATTCCCAAAAAAAAAAAAAAAACATCGGCTTTTACGTTGAATGATAATTTTGATCCGACCTTTTTTTTGTTTTAACAAATAGTACCAATTTTTACTCGAGTCCTAAATCTAGCCCCTGTGATGTGAAAATTTCAAATCGTTCAGGCTAAATTCGAGATTTAAGTTAAAGTTGGTGATTTTTTATTAGACAAAAAAAAAATTCGGGCCAAGATTGTCACTCGAGGTAAAGTTTGTGCTTTTTTTAGAATTAGTTTCCGTTAAATTGAATTAATACAACGAAAAATCACAAATTGTTACACACGTGACAAACGGAGGTTAAACCCCAAGCTAGTATACCCGTGAACTGCCACGTGTCGTTCAACCGAGCAATTTAACAGTAAACTTTAATGGAAATAAAATAAGGGTAAATTTGTCACAGATGTACTAGTTTGGAGTTTTTTATGGTTAAAATATTAGTTTGGGATAAATTTAATACAGATATACTAATTTGAGATTTTCCGTGATATTAATCCTTTTTTAAGACTCTGCCGGAGGAAAGTAATTACGCGACGAGGCCGAGGGCAAAAGAGGGATTTCGTCCCACGCACCCACCTTCCTTGCTTAAAGAGGGGAGGACATACTATCGGCCGGTGGCCACCCGAGAGAAAAGTCTGAGAATCCCAGCTGTTCTCGCGTGGGTCCCACCCCCACCACCACCACCACCACCACCACAAACACACGTGTCGTCCAACCGGTGGTTGTCTTAAAGAATTGCCCCACAAACGGAAAACCCGAATTATAAGAAATCAAAGTCAGACGTACTAAGGTTAATGTACTGCACACGTTGATTAAAGGATGTAATATGGCACGCGTTGAAGCTCGTTACAATATGTATCGTCGCTCATTACTTTGTCGCGTCGTCCAGCACATTCACGTAGCGCACCAATCTTAGCATTTCTCACGTAACTGAAGCGAAAGCTACCTCGATTCAATCTACCAGTGCAAAACAATCGATTATGAATCAAGAACTGAAAAGATTCATGTAACATTTCTCGCCGAAGACAACACAAATTTCCCGCATTAAACATTCTTGAGGCGGCGCATCTCCGAGTACGAATAACAATTTCACGGGAAGAATACGGTTTTACTTACGTATTCGTAGTGTATGGACAGATTTTTGTTGGGTCGAAAGGGATCATGTCCGATGCTATTTACATCATTATTGCTAACGAAATTCCAACCTCAAAGAAGAGTGTCAAACAGACTTGACACTCTTGACTGAAAGGTGAGCTGAGATGTCTTTTTGAGGTTTTAGGACATCAAAGGGGAAGGAATATCGAGTACCACTAACAACTCAATAGCCCACAACCAACAACTGCAACACTTACCTGCCAGCAACTTGTGGAGGGTAGCTGCACTTCCCCCATTTGGAGAAAAAAAAAACACAGCTTTCTTTAGCGATCAGGATGAAGAATTGAACTGTTTCCCTCAGGTTTGATACCGGAAAAGGATGCACTTGATTAGTTGGTGATCCGACTTCGAGAAAACCGATTCGGTACCGATGAAACTCCATCGCCATAACAAGACAATCACGTGCTCATACAATTTCTTCGGAACAATCTTTTAAGAGAGCATCTAATTTCATGTGAAGCATGACTTAGAACTACCAAAATTTGAGGGTCCCTAATTGAACCTAAACTTCCATCTAGGACTGCCATTGGAGCCAAATTGGTTTTGGTGGACCAGAAAAACACTTGGAGCTGCAGGGGCAGGGCGGTAAATCAGGCAGAGGAGAGGTCGGACAGTTGGTGCGTGATGTAATGTTTCCAAACGAACCTGTAGTAACCACTAATTTAACCAGGACGCTGTCCGAGTCCTGACCTCATATTAATACGATGATAGACTCACGAACCATCATTTGTTTCTCCCAAAACACCGTCTTCTCTTTGCATATTCTCTCTCTCTCTCGCTCGCTCTAGCTGATTCAGTTCCCTCTCTGCACTTGGAGACACACAGGGAAAGGATCCAAAGCTTGTCCGACAATGAAGAAGTCGGGGTGGTTTGCAGTCTCGGCGGCTGCAGCTTCTGCTACTGTCGTCTCTTATTCATCATCTTCTTCTTTGATCTTCTCGTGCACGTCCAAGCTTCAGTTTTCGAACCAGGTACGCGTTTTGTTCGACGGCCGAGGAAGTGGGTGGTGCTTGGTTCTTGAAAAAAGCTGCGATTGTTTAACTGTCTAGTGATGTTATGCCGGAAGGAGCGAAGAAACTTCGCTGCCAGATGGGAAAAAATGAATTTTGCCGAGTAAAAATTTGGTCTTCTGGTTACGGTCAAGATTGATCTTGGCCATTCGGTTGATTGAATTTCGCCACTTCACTTGCAGGAACACGTCTCGAGCGCCGACCAAGCTGCTTCTTGTTCGCAAAACTCGGGCTCGGCTGATAAGTTTGCGCCGAGGTTCGACGGCCTGCGCTTCATCGAAACGCTGGTTACAGCTCACAGATGACTCCATCAGTTCACATCCTTCGACTTTCGTCTGTAGATATTCACCCTAATTCTTGCAGGGTGGCAACCCTGAAACCGCAGCTTTTAATTGCGTTTCTCATTTCGAAAGAGAAGGGAAGTTGGAGTTCTTTGTCTTAGCCTATTAGGTGTTGGAAGTAATTTTCCTGTAAGGACAACTCCTTCCTTAATGGTATGATTCCAAGTTCTCATTGTCACGAGCTCATGATCTCCCCCGTTATGTTTCTCACCCAGTCAAATTCTTCTACTGTAACTTAAGGTAAGCGCACAGTTTCACAGAGAGAAGACGGTTCTGGCCAATTAAGAATGAATCTCGCCGCCAATGGGTGACACTCGGAATATACCATTTCATCTTCAAGAAATTAAAAAGAAGCATTAAAAATTGGCTGCGCCTTCTTTTTGATTGAGGCACTGGACTTTGTAAAGGCATCTGTCTTAATTGTTTTTAAGTTATCATCGACGCGGTAAGCATTATAGCGCCGGATCAATGTGGTCCTCTCAATTAGCATGCGCATCCTGTCGCGAGCAAATAATGTATAGTTAGAAGGAAAAACTATATGTTCCCACGATCAAGCGCAGACCTACAAGACCGACGGCATGAGAATTTCTTCGTGTCAGTTCTTCGTTGTGCGCCGGACCTGTTATTGCCATTCCCTTGCTCCTGCCACAGTCTGCAGTCTCAATGAATGACATGACCCGATGCAAGTCCGATTTAGGAATCCCAGCCGAGGTCCATGCCAGTACATTTAATTAAAGCAAGAACTAAACCGGAGCTCGTATGATCAAATCCAAACAACCGACCTGCCAGCTTCCACGCTTTGTGGGATCATGAACTTTCCACCAACCATTCTTCATTTCTTTATTGTATGTTGCTTTTTCCAGTCCCACCAGTGCATGCATCTTGAGCTCAGACCTTTACAACTCCAGCTCAGCAAGAGGTGGATCAGCAAATGACTCCGACAATGAGAGAGCAGATAATATTTTCTGTGACGACGACAAGCTCAAGAACTTGGTAGGCAACTTCCGTGCAGGACAGATAGATCTTCCATTTCCACCTTCAATTGTTTATGCTAGAGAACATGACATACTCCATCAGAAGCAACAATTCTGCTCGCAAAGATAGTAAAGCCTGTGGAGGAACAATTCAAATTGAAGTGTCTCTCTTCGACTTTTATCCAACTGCTTTGTCCATATGTGCCAACTAGTGTCGAAGTCGTAAGACAAGCCGGCTTTGCACGTGTCTCATGCCAACAAGAAATTGGGCATTTTAATTATGTTACGTTCATCAAAGTACTGGGATACAGCAATAAGAAAAGGGTTCCTTTGTTGCAAAGCATAGTCTGTCTTCACTTGGCCAAGCATTTCCGTATTCGCTGAGGAAGAAAGACGGTTGGTAGAGAGATGCCCAGTTTATTCAACCGCCGTCCAAAAAAATTTTGCTTTTCCTGAGAGAGCCCGAAAAAAAGGCCACTAGGCCATCACTCAACAACAGTCAAATGCAGACACATTTCTCACCAGGTAGGAACGATTAAATTCATTATCTCATTCGACCTGTTCATCTGCATGACTACAATCATTGCAAATAATGAAACGGGCTCAGGAGGCGCCCATACATACAAAGAATGTCACGTGCGACGTGAACTTGAAAATACAAGGTAGTTGACAAACATTTTGAATCACAAACAAAAAGGGGAAAAGCAAAGCCACCTGCAATCATCCCTGTGAAACAATGCAACTACAGTCTGCAGAGACCATGCATAATCACATGATCTAGCCATAATTTAAGACATCTCTTATAAAAGAATAGCAGCTCTCTATGACATTGTGGAGGAAAGACCACAACATCTCCACAAAGTATATAAGCCCGCAGGATGATACCTTCACATTTTCTTTACAAAGACAATTTACTTCAGAAAAACTGAAGCAGAAGCGTAACAAACCCACCTGCGAGCATCAACGACAAAGACTGTTTTGCCACTAACTCGCCTCCACTCGCATTGACGGACTCCTTCACAGCTGGAGCTGCTGGTGGTACCGTGCTACAATCGAGACCTTCGTTCCCTTCTCTGCATTCATTAGCAAAGAGTCCTGGAGGGTATTTTCCGTAGAGGTTAATGTAGCTGAACATGGTTGAAGCACAATCAGTTGTGAGGTCATTTATTCGATCGGCGAAGGGACACGCGAATACTTTGAAAGCTCCACAGCAGAGCTTGGCTGTGTATTGGGGTCCCTTGCACTGGCTCGTGAGAATTGTGTAGTTCTGGTTCTCAAAGTCTACAGAGCAACCTTTGAGCCCAAAAAAAATAAAACAAGATTGAGGTTTAAAAATACTGTCCATTCACTGAAAACTCATATAATTATGAGGTGTCATATGTCTTCTAGCTATAAAACACAAGTTCCATCAACTAGCTAGTAAAAAGAGGGACTGTTAACAAATGCAAAGCTTTCACACATCTCTTCATCTCAAACATGCAGAATAGAATTTAGGCATGGATGGAAGGCAATGAGATTCTACAACATCACAAATCAGAAACTGAGGAATGGATTGCACGAATAATGTTTCACATACTCCTCTCTATTCCTGATTCCCTTCCTCCCCCTTTTAATTTAACAGAAACCTGCCTGATTTAAGCAGGTAAGAACATAAAGCACTTTCGAGTAAATTGAGCAAGATCATTCCAGGTTCTAGTCAATTGGTGAGTGCAATAACCAACCAAATTTTGGAAAATGATGAGCATGATATCAGCTTTTTATGGGAAAGCTGGGCACCAGGATGTTGGGAGACATGATGAAGAGATTCCTTAACTCTAACAAACAGCCAGCTTGTTTTCTTACTCTGACTATGAAAATATAAATCCTTTAGAATTCAGTACCAGTGCGATCCACCATAAATTAGATGTTCATCGATTATCATGATATACAGTCATCTCCATAGTAAATCAACTGATGGGAACACTATAGTGCAACTGTCAAATAGCTCCATTGTGACTTGAAGAAAAGTAGTGTTTAATAATATTGCAATAGACTTTGCCAAAGAGATGTTCTAGCAGCATCATTCAAGAAAATCTAGAAAGCTCTAATCATATTTGCAAAATCTCAGTGAAATGACACTGAATAGCAACTTTAAAACGCTAATTTTGGATTACTCTATTCAGTTCTATATATATCTATTAAGGTTAGGAACTAAAGCAGAGACCGATACCTCATAATGAAAAATCACGAAGAGGATTACTAATTGCAAGTGCATTGATATATCTAAATGGACTATATTCCACAGAAAGTTTTGTGCTTTTCTTTCTTTACTGAAAAAAATGCTTAAGCTATTGAAGATCATCATGAAAATAATGACTCTACACAACCTTATTTATTGGTGTGGAACTCAACCCTACCTAACACCTTGTTCAACTTCCTATTAGCTTCTTCACGGAAGCCAAAACCAAGTAATTGCCAAAGTTGTTTAGTGCTTGCTCTCTAAAAGTCTTCTTTGTTTCAGGCTATAATACTACTTCTGTGTTACTTACATGTGTAACTTCTCATGTTTGACATGGATCATCGAAACGTAGGCTGAAAGCATCTAGGACTCAGGAAAACTTGATGGTGATATGGTAATGTTGCAAACAACCATACAAGAAGAAGTAGAGAGACCTTATTGTCCGAGGGGCATAAGGAGAAAACTCACTGATGTGATGAAACAATTATAATTATAAATTCACGGCACTACCAACTTACATGCAATTACGGTGTTGAAAAGGAGTTTGCTTCATTAAGATATCACCTTATTCCCTCTTCCTAAGATTGAAATCAGCATTGAATGTGCTCAGCCTCCAGAAAGCAATTGGTATTTTTGGGCTCAAAAGGGACGAAGAAGATGGGTATACTTCCTTACCAAAAAAAAGAAGATGGGTATACCGGATAAGATGCCGACTCAATTGCATTTGTTTGGTAGCACATGCTTGTTGCTTATAGAAATAGCTTCAGATTCTAATTACTAAACACATCCAGCCTCAATTTGGAACAGGGTAGTTGCAATGCAGGTTCTATGTCCAATACCACTAAGGAGCACACCTATGACCTTAACAGACGTTGATTTTCCTAAACATCCCAGAAACTACGGACTTCCTGATTTTCATCAGACAAGAGACAACAAGCAATTAACGATTCGAAGAAATAGAAAACCTTCAACGGAAGGAACAGATCGGGCAATTCGTGAAACAAGGACATCAAAGAAAAAGAAACTTCAATGAGAATGTAGAAAAATCTTTACTTGTTTTGGCCTGAAGAAGGCTACGGCCAGCAGCTTCCCGAGATTCAAAGATGCCATCTGAAAAAGAAAGGCAAGAATAGTCAAGAAAACCAACGAAAATGAGAGATCAAACGGGCGAAGAGAAACGATGAAAAGCTCAAAAAATATTCTCTAAACAGCAAAACATCAAGAACGCGAAGATTACCATGAAGGAAAGAGGAAGATGCCACGCCCACGAACAGGAAAAACAGGAGGCAACCGCAGGAGAATGGGTTGGGGGCCATTGCCAAAACTTTCTTCTCCTCTGTTTCTTGCCGGGACTCGCCGGAGATCAATCTTGAATGGGGATCGATCGATCTCCAAGAACACCAAATGGGTCCTCTCCTTCCTCTCAACGGTTTTTCCTCGTCTTCTTGAAACGAGCTCGTTTCGAACAGGGTATTGCTAATTTTAGCTCAGAAAGAAAGAGACAGCGAGCGAGCGAGCGAGCGAGCCCGACAGAAGAAGAGAGAGAGAGAGAGAGAGAGAGAAGCCGCGTTTTGTCAGGCTGTCGAATGATGTGGGAGATGAGCGTTTAGATGTGTATGCGCCAGTCCGTAGCTTCAATCATCTCTGATTGAACAGATTTTTGCCTTTTTATTATTTCATCTGATTTACATTTTATGAACTTCAATCCAAAACCGCTCAAGAAATTTCATAATATAATAAAGATTGATCATTTACGTATGATAATTTTCATATTCTTCTAAAAATCGTAACTTTATTTTCAAGAATTGTAAACGAACAAGGCCCTTAACCGTTTTAATCTCCACCGGTCAGTTGCCAACAATAGAGTGTCCTGTCTAGTTGATTCTCTGACCATTCGCCCAGTGATTCCCTGTTGGTTGACCCAGTCCCTTTCTAACAAAAATGACACTGAATCCACTCATATGCTCGCCGCCCAGATTTCTCTGTCTTTGGATTCATCCGGCCCGTTGACCCCGGCCATATCCCTGACAAATTAATGCGGGTACTTACTCAAATTTTGGAAAAAGATCTAACGTGAAAGAAGTCCGTGCAGTGAAATTGGCAAAATATTTTCTTAGAAATGAGCGAATATGCTAGATTTTCTTGATAGTGTAGTTCCATATCAGAAGCAATGAATAGTCATCCAGCTGGGGGACTTTGATGTAGAACTGAGGAGTGACTACTGAGGGAGGTGTTGGGATCACCAACCCCATCAAGATTATAAAAGCGACATCCAATCTTTATCAATTTAAATACGTGTTTTGCCTATTAGATCTCTGGAGGAGACGGCGCTTCTCGCCAGATGCGAAGAAAAACCCAATTGGCCAAATTTCATAATCAAGCAACTCTTAGGAGGTATATGAGCAGGGGCCAACAAGTAGCCAAGACAGAAGATTATTTAAGGAACAAAAGAATGACATTGCCCGACTCTGTTTATCTCTGGGTGCTGTATAACCACCTCCAAAATACAGCCTGGTCAGTTCAGCATCAGTTTTAACACAAAAAACTGCTAGAAAATGAATCTGTTTCTCTGACCAAAAAAAAAAATGAAAATGAATCTGTTTCTCCATCTCTCTCTCTCTCTCTCTGCGATGGAGCTCAAAGCAGTTCCGGGAAAATTGAGCATAACTGTCGAGGTGCCTCTGGAAGGATCTCTAAGGCTGCTAGGAGGCTGCCGTCAGTAAAAATGTGGCTACTTGATGCAACGTCATATTTTGAACTCGCGTCCATCGTTGGTACTCCTGGTGACACACTGGTTTTTGTCCGATGGCACACCCTGAGGCATCATAAAAGGAATGTTAGACTTACCAAGACTGGTTTACAAAATTGATTTACAAAGTGATGAGTCAGACTATTATTGATTCTTGAATATGAACCACTTGTTTAAAATGCCACTCATAGTATGACACATCACTCAGTATACCAATTTTAAAAACCAGTTTAGTAAGTCCAGCATTTCTCTTATCGTAAAAAAGATGATGCAAGCACAAGAAAGTGACAGAATTGAAATACAGGTGTAACACAGCTTGAATTGGATGGCAAGCAAATGAGAGCTCTTTAGGCCTATAAGGCCGTCATAGCAACAGGGAAGGTGACTTTACGCACGACAACCATGAGACTATCCAGAAGAAAGAACCAGAAGATTACTCAAGACAACATCTTAACACCAAAATTGACATGCTTTTCCAGACGATCCCCGTTAATACGTTTGACAATATATATGGTTGTTAGCGCTGGGCCCTGGCATAACTTGTACTAAAACATGACTATAGCATGCTGATGTGAGTTGTCAGCCTATGGAACCACAATCAGGAACAGAAGAAAATATTATTTGAAAATATGCAAAAGATATGTTCAATCTATGTTCCTTGCCTTAAGTTTCCAAACACGAGTTGAACATCAGATTACCTCATGAATTTGAAGATTCTTCCCATTACTCCACAATTACTCTTTAGTTAGATACTAGCAGATATTACTAGTGTGCCTCATCTTACGGGTGATGGACCTGCCCATTCGAAGGCGTCGAGCTGTAAGTGCTTCTAACAACACTTGCAAGGCATCTTCCACTGCTTCAGCCGGCTTATCCAAACCGTACGAGCTAAACTCTGGAACAGCTTGTAGCTCGGACATGAGGCCAATGGCTGCAGCAGCTGTGCAGGTACGATCCCATGAAGGCTGTGGCCTAAACTCAGACAGGAGTTATTGAGCTTAAGAGTGGTTAGGTGCTCTAAGATGGAGAGAAGAAAGTTGAAGGTTTCTATGGAGGAATCATATAATTACAGGAAACAGTAGAAAGAATCATAAGAAGGGAAGTTCTAGCCGTTCATATCACCTGAGCTTGTGCATTGCAGACGCACCAGTAGCGAGAGATATACAAGGAAGATCGTCTTCCCCCCATACGATCTTTGCTTGCTCCTTCAGGTTGGAAAATACAAGTTCATGTCAGAATAAACTCATTACTTGCGACCGAGCATCAACCGCTAGGTTGTCTCGATAATACAAAACTGTAAATCCTGTTCAAAGGGTCAAAGCCGACAGCACTGACTACACATAGGTGACGAAGACATAATACTACATGAAGAGAAGTATGCTTTGTTGAGTGTTAAATCAGAAGAGATAAAAAGGATCAGCCACCCAGTATTACCTTTAAACGCCGGAACATTGCAGCAGAATTACTCCATGTACCATCAATTAGAACAAAATTCAAAATTCTATCTTCATTTCTCTCAGCAATGGAAGCCTGGAGAAGATAGAAAAGATAAATTTACATTTGAAGCTATTGTAATCAGGAGACAAGGACAACAAGAAAGAATTAAAGATTCGTGCATTGCTATTGGCACAAGACGGTCACGTCAATTTTGAAGAAGCACTACCCTCTCGGATTGGAATTGTGCCCTGCTGAATGTATCCTGTACAGATTCAGTCAGTGCACTCTTATTGGGATAGAGGCACCAAACCTTACTCTTCCCTGATATTAATAAAATTACATGTCAGGTCCCAAGGATACAATAAAACGTAATATAATGACTTAAAGATTTCTAGTATCTAAATATAAAGCAACAGCTATCAGTTCTCCGATTACCACATTTAAATAAAGAATAAATTACCCAGCCACCATAGTCAATTTGCCTCTCTCCCGATAAATAAAGATTCTCTCAAACTGAAAATCAGTTTTTTTCACCCAAAAAGCCAAACACAAAAGGTTGAAGGGAAGCTTGGATTGTAAAATGGAAGTGCATTTCCAAGATATGAACTTGTCTCTGATCAACTCAACGTAATTTTTAAACTAGCAATATCTCCAAACATTGACCCTTCAACATTTTCAGGTTGCTGCAATATTGCACTGAGAAACCTGAGGAGTGAAAAGTCACAAGAGACAGAAATTGATGGAACCTGCGAGTTTGAAAGTATTCCACATGATCTCTTCGTCTTCAGCAATTCCAAAGAGGCACAAAGTTGCTGCTTCGACTCCAAACAATTGCCATAGCAACTTCCCAGTGTTGTTTTGTCTCAGAAAGTCCTGTAAAAGGACTAGTCACACTAACAGAGGGCGATGCATCAATGTATATGTATGATATACCATGAATGACGAAGTATTACTACCTTGGGATGCATATACACCCAGAAACGCAGACCATGCCACAGAGAACAGGGAAGTACTTTTGAACACATACAGTCTTCCATAGGGAGCCAGCACTGCAAAACAATGGGACAACAAATTGTAACATATCTCAAAATGGAATTCATTTTGACGCATTGGTTGAGATGAAGAAAATTGATATTATGGAGAAGAACTATCCTGGCAAAGTAGCCAAGTACCTTTTGGCAAAGATAATTCCTGCTTCCAAGCAAACGGCATGCTATTTGTCGGGCAGCAAAGAATTGAAGTTTCATCTCTGAGTCACCTAATGCCTGATATTTTGCTCTGTGCTTCTTGTCCTCTTCCACTTTGAACTCGCCCTGAAGAATCAGCAACATTGAGGAACCGAACGCATCCATAGCAATTAGAGACACTGATTCTCAATCCAAACTATTAAATTAGCAAAATTTCATCCTTTAGTTTACAAAAACTATCACATTACAGCTCTAACTCATGCTTTTGTTATAACAAATGTTCTTTTTATTTTTTCAGTCTTGAAGAGCAACGGTCTCAACAAGATTTCAAAGCATCCCCAGACAAGTGTAGACATCCAAAGGAGACTGATTTTCTTAAGCAGTTCCAAACGTCCTGAGCTTCACCAAACTCCAAAATCTCCCCTAGTCATTTCGTTCATTTACACAAAAATCTATTCTAGGTAAAGGCACGACGCAAGACCAATCGCATCCTTTTCTTAAATGGCCGAGCCGCCCGCCTTCCCATAAACACAAGTATTAGAGCAACAGCAACATCAGTGAGATTGTTCCCAGGAAAGACTCGCGCAAAACTTCCTACTTTCCAATTGCTTTATCCTCAGAAACCACAGGCGGTATCAAAGTCAGCCAAGTCCACCGAAACAGAAAAACAGAGGGACAACAAGCACAGCACGACCAATGAAGACCCAATTACTTAATCAGCCAAAAAACCACGTTAGAGCCCGTCAACAAACAAAAGGGTATACCTGGAGTTTGCCACCAGTGCCGCCAAAGCTCATGGGGGCATCCATGTCCTCCTCCAGAAGCTTCAGGTCCTCGATGACCTCGGTGACCATGGCGGGCACCGGGGATACGCATCCCCACCCCCGCCATTCCTGCGGCGAGATGGGCCCGCCCTTCGCCGCGGCGTCGTCGGCCGCGCGGACTTGCCTCGGGGGCGCGCGGGAGGCGGAGGTCAAAAGGGTATCGCCGTCGCCGGAGTGGGTTCTGGGTTTAGCGTCCATGCGACTCCTGACGAAGCAGAAGAACGTGAAATGCGCGGCTGCAGAGGACGAGCATCTGACTGGAAAGGTCCTCGGAGAAAGCAGCATTCTTTTTCGCAGGTTCTTCTCTCTGTCATATACTATAATTTAGAGGTCGGTCCGTTCATTTCAATGAGGCGACTTGGGAGTCTAGGGAAAATTTATGAAAAAATTCTAGAAAACAAGGGCTTAAATTTGCTTTTTATTTAGGAAAAAACTGTATAATTTTATTTGGTTTTTCTTGGTATAAATATGTGTTTTGTTGGTTTTTGATTAATGACGCATAATTTGCTGCGTGAGTGTGTTGTGCCTTCGTGCATGTTACGGACTGAGCTTTGGTTCTACTGCGAAAGGTGAGCAGAGCCAAACATGGTGTCGACGGCAATGGAAGCAACCATCCCACGAATGAAGATCAGCGGGCACAGGACTTGTTGGCAGTACATCTCAACGGACCATGGAGCACGATTCATAAACTCTAGATGGCTCGATTGGTGGAAAACTCGAAAAAGGGCTAACGAAGTGGCGCGGTAGCCAAATAATGTGCTTGGCTAACCAATCGATGGACCTATTTTAGTGGGTGGTTCACAACTATAGTGATCCAGTTTATGGAGAGAAATTCGATTCGAAAGGAATTAGGAGTGAAGATCCAAAATAACATGAGGTGCAAAATACAGATGAATCCGAGAGGGTAAAAATTACTTATTTTGATGGTTATTTCTCTGTTGAGGAGTTTTTGGATTGGCCTGAACAGACAGATTATGTTTCATTTTATTTTATGGACATCCTAGAGCATACAAAAGTTAAAAGCTAGTAAAGCCTGAAGTGGAAGATGGAGCATTATGGTGGTGGGAAAATAATACTTGCGATATTTGATGATATGAAAAAGGAGAAATTAAAAGTTATCCAAGATCATATAAAAAAAAAAAAAGTTTTTCAAGAAGGGCACCCAGAATTTTGGCAAACAATATGTTTTTTTTTATGAGATTTCCGATTATCCAGTTAAAATTTTCACTCACAAGATTTTTTGAAGCGAAATAGATGACGGATACCTCAATTATCTAGTTAATTTTGACACGATTAAATTAGACTCGCCTCAGACTTATCGAGGCCAAATTTCTTTGAATCCAATAGGTTGGTCCTGCCCGATTCAAGGGTCACTTGCCGAGACCGAACAATCATCCGCGGCTCGATTCGGTACCAATTTGGGCGTAGCCAAGTATTTGCTAATTACATTTTTTTTCTTTTTTCTGTCCGATTGCAAATTACATTGGTTAAGTTTATTTCCGGGCACTTCTTCAGTTCGAGGAAAACCGGTGCGACCCGTGCCGAACTGGTCCGGTCCGGTCCGGTCCGGTCTTCGGGCTGCCGATCCATTCTCAACACCTAGACGACTGGTTCACCTAAGTACCGCGTCCCACGATCGCTCCTCGTTCACGTCCGAACCGTCGAACGAACGAACTGAGCGCGACAAAGCGACGGCGATGGCGACATCCGTCCTGTCCTAAGCGAGTCCCATCTAACTTTCCTCATCTTCGTCAACCCCCACCCGCGCTTCGCTGTCGCGTCTCCCTTCCTCTTCCTCTTCCTCTTCCTCCTCGCCGCCTTTCCATCTTCAGGTCATCACCGAAATCTCTCCTCTCCCCTCCATCTTCCCTCCCCCCTCAGCCTTTCCCCGTTCGCCAGCGCACGCCGCGCCGCTCATCTAACTTTCTCGCATCCCCCGTTCCGCCGCCTCGCGCGCGCGCGCGCGCCGTATATATATACCCGCATTTCCTCGTGAAGAGCGTCTCCATCTCTCGGCCGAACGATCGTTCCTCATGTCTTCGATGGCGGGTGTGCGCGGGTCGGTCGCTCTCTCCTCGCCCGGCGCTCGCCCTTCCCTCCCCCCGGCGAAGGCGGCGGCGGCGACGGCGTCGTCCTCCCCCGCGGCGGTCTCCCTCCCCTCGCCGCGGCGGAAAGCCGGCGCCTTGCCGGGATCCGTGGGGCTGAGGATTCGGTCGCGACCGCTCGCTTCGTCGAATTCCAAGGGCGCGAGGGGTTCTCGCTGCTCTCGAAATGGACGGGTTGTGTGCGAAGCTCAGGACACTGCTCTCGACCGTGAGTTTTTTTTTCTCCTCTCTCTTCCCTCTTTTGTATTTGGTTGATCGTCGAATTCGGCAAGGTGGTTTGCCGGAATGGTTTTTCATGCACTCGCGAATTTAGAACTACGAAATGATGTGGTTTAGATTGAGCTGATTGATAGAGGCTTTTGATTTTCCTTCATAGTGGATATCGACGTGATAGAAATGCCATATGTTCCATAGTTTGGTTGTTTCGTCATCAAAATTTGATCTTTTTAACTGTGCATTTGAGTGGGAGACATGAGACAAAAGCAAAGAGACTTGTGTCTATGCCAATATCCTGCACTAAGGTTAGTGGGTTATGTAAGCAAATTTAATTACACAATTCCTGCTGTAGATAGACTCTTTCTCATAGTCTACCCGTCGTTCGACTCACTACTTTTTACCTAGCACTGAATTCTCGTGGGAAGTTTTCGGAATTGCTTATGTATGGTTTAGGGAACTATACTCGACCATCGCTATCATTTTGTGTATGATCTGATGTAAGTAGAATAGATCAATTTCTTGGATTTGTATACTTCTTTATAGAGGATATAGCTGAGTTCGCATCCGTATAGATATATAGCTGCGCTTATAGGAATCAAAGGTACGAGCAGCTTAGAGTCATGTCCTTCTTTCTCCTCGAGAGCGTCCTTGCTGGCAGCTAGAGAAACTCCAATAGTTGGCGCAACGGCTTATTTTGATTACGTTGGAATATCAGTTTGTTGCTGACATATGCTAATAACCATGTTTTGCTTGGGTAGAACTTTGAAAAGTGTAATTTCATGCTCAAGTTTGACGTTTGGACTAGCAGTCTTGAGGAGAATTTGGATTAGTCGGCACCTTCGTTCAAGAACTCATTTACTTTGCTCCCAAAACCTCAAATTATCTTAAGGTCTCCTCTAAATGCTCTTTTTTATGTCAAACTTCCCCAGATTCTTCACAATGGAAAGATGACTAGAGTATCAACAATAGGATGCATTTGCTTTGATAGTAATCACCTATATGTTTGACCTTATAACAAAATGATGCCATCTTTTTTCGAACGCATAACCACAGAATTCTGTATATATGTAATGCATGAATACTGATTTTCATGACTTAGATCAATGAATACGCTGGCAGACTGGCTAATGATTGTCGTGAAGTTAATATTTGACAAGGGAAGAATGTCCTTGTGCGCTTGGAACACCTTTTACCTGCTTGAACAGTGAATTTTAATCTTTGGTCTACTAGATGTTTGTGCATGTGATTGCCCACTCCTATTGGATGACGATTTAATAGTACATTAAAAGATTGCTCCTTTTCTTCTGTTCCGTCAATGGAAGATGTGCATCTCGAGATCATTAAATCCCAAACTTGCCACTACAAGCGCTTGTTATTAATGCGAATGAGAGTGATTGGTGACAATTGACAAATTGGTGATACTCCTGCAAACTTTCTTTAGTTGATATGGGATAGGCTTTCCTCCCAACCTTTTTTGGTTTACTATACAATAACTATGTTTCATACTGCAAGCATCCTGTTTGCTGAGTCTGATTAATTGGTCCCTAAGTAATTTTAGAGTGAGTCCCCGGTTTCCATCTCAGAGTATATATGACAGTCTCTATGTTCTAGATTAAGTTTTCTAATTGCTTAAACAGAAGATGAGCAGAATCCCTGTTTTATCTGAAACTGGTCTCGGTATCCACTATTACTTTATGAAATTGGAACGAGCTCTTTCCAGTCCCTCTAGTTAATGCTAAATGTAAATTCACATTCCTTACTGTTTTTGTTAATTGAGGAAGTAATGGAATCGTAAGATATGGAACTCCTATCTAATCATTTTGTCAGCCTAAGCCCCTAAAGTTATTTGGTTGATCTTGAGTCTCGTTTTTAGCCTTAGTTATATAAATGGAAATTTATGCCCTGAAAACGTGTATCTACTTGTGGATCCATCCTCCTTTTACTTTCTCTGGATTATGCTTTCTTCATTCAAGCATATCCCAATAATTCTTGTCTATGGTTTGGATGGAAGTGACTGATAAAGTCTGAGTTTTTTGTCACGTTCTTTTACTGCACCATGGAGGAAAATTTTAGATCTAGTGATCTAGGTGAAAATAAAGCTTCTGGTAGCATCAGGGAAATGAAAATATTTGTAACTTCTTTGCCTGAGTCATCTCCAAGCGAGAAGATGACGTGTGGTCACGAGTTCTCCAATCTTCATGGGTGTTAGTTTCGGTTCCTCTATCATTTAAGGTTTGTCTTGTAGGATAGATCCTTTTGTTGGAATCCATCTTGAGAATGCTCTTCAGCTAGATTGTATTCAAGTTTTGGCCTAAATTTGTTGGAAATGCCGTAAGGAGACCTAAGGCTTCATGGACTATTGGAATAATAAACTGATCCTTCAACCTGGTACTTCCTTAAGTCGCGTACTTGTAGTCAAGTAGATTTTGATCCCTCAGCCAGCAATTTCTCTGGCGATCCTCATATATGTTCAACTTGTAAATCTAATGCTATTGCAGTGCCGCAATCATTGACCACATTTCTTTTTACAACTTTCTGAAATATCAAAGATGCTCCATCTTTCTGGGCCTGTGGTTGCTCTTAGGGTGCTACTGGGTAGTGGGTAGTTCTATGAATGTGGAGTTGTGGACTGGACTAGGATATATGAATACACAAGTTCGCAGCGGATGCCACTTTATGTGCTGAAAGTAATTGCTCACTGGCTGGTGTTTTCCACCCTTCCGCTCCTATCATGAGTTTGCGTGACGTCTCTTTTCTAGGAGCAATACTAAGTTCTTGTCCAAGTGTGTGTTTGGATCGTGACTTGGTTCTGTTTCCTTAATGATGAGCAGCAGTTCATGTCAAATACAGTCTAAATTCAGGCCTGTATAGTGTGCTGCAAGATTTGCAATTTTCTTTTGAACTTCGGTTTAAAATTATGTTGAAATAATTTGATTTCATCTTCAAACATGATCAGACCGATTATGTTGGACTGACGTTAATATTTGTAGTCTTGAGAACACGGTACTAGCTGCATTTGGACTTGATAAATAACTCGAAGTAACTTGAAAGAAGTAAGAAACCCAGTGGAGATAGAAGTGGGTTTGTACTTACCTGAAAAAATCGAAGGTGGATTGGCAAGTTGCTTGTTTCAGTCCATTTTCACCCGGACACTTGGTGATGGTGTTAAGATTCCTAAGAATGAATCATGGTGTTGTCATTAATAATTAAGTGAATTGTGCTATCTCAACATATCCCTAATCTAGAAGTCATGTTCATGTTTGATTCATGGACTAAGCTGATGCCATTAAAATCATGCCACTGATGCACATTCAACTCAAAAACCTCATGCACGTCACACTGGAAGCGAATCTTGATGTAGACTATCCAATGGTAGAAAAGCTGGTTAATGGAAAATTAATATATCAGTAGTGGACACTTATCCCACCTACCTGTTCCTTCATGTTCGACATACTCTTCTATATAAACACTTACGAATGATGTTGGAAAATAATGTGCCATGCATAGATCAACAACTCTTGTGGTATGTATTGATGTAATTTAGTGTGTCATTTAGGATGCACTGTTTTTTATTGGACCACTTAAGCATGGAAAGACGAATTTTCAAGGGAGTAAAAGGAAATATTTGAAATGCGAGAGGTTCTGTGATGGAAAGGAAATCTGATCATTTTCCTTGTACTTGATGGAAAGCTGATTATAGGATTTGTCATGGGGATTTGGTTCTGCTTCAGTTGGTTTCTTGATTTGTATACTTTGTTCCTCCTGCTTTTCAATACTTCTAGAATTCTACAACTTGAGTCTACATTTTGGCGCGATCCATGCCAAAAGGTCAAAGCACTTTATGTTGATGGGCCTTTTGTTTAGAATTTAGTCCAAAGGGTCTGTCGCAACCACATCTTTGAATTGTCGAGAGGATCTTTAAGTTTTATTCTAGAAAGAATGGGTCCTGGAAAGAGGACCTAAGTTTGTTATATTGTAGTTTAATACAATCTGTCGCTTTTATTCATCAAATTTCTCGGCATTTAGACCCTAGGACAACTGTTTCTTGCTGTTGGCCCCATTGACCCACATATTGGCTCCAGGGTAATGCAAGCACATGCACAGAAACTGATGGATCTTGTTTCTTGCAATACGTGTTCATTTTTTTATACTAGCAAGTAATAAATTTGACTCTGATATTAGTCAATGTATACTTCAAAATTTTCAAGTTGCTATTCTTTCGGATGATTTCTAAGCTTATTCGGTTTCCTCTTTTTTGGCCAATCCTGCATCTGTGCTCAATTTATTATCGTGGAGGTTTAATTCCTTTGTTTTATAATTCAACAAAGTAATGCCACGAGATATAGTAGTTGTCTGAACTTATTAATCTAGCTGCCAGTATTTCTGGTGCTACCCAGTACTTCAGTACAGGCAAGATGCGAATTTTGAAGAAGCACGAGTGACTTTTCCCTTTAGAATCTTGTATTCCCATTTTGTCTGGGAAAGTTTACGATCCTACTTACGAGAATAAGATAATCGTTTTTCTCATCTATAGAATGTTATGTGATATTGAAATTGTTGGGCTAATCAGAATTAATTTTATTTTCATTTGATAACTCGTTTGTTTGGCTTCCTGCAGTTCCTCCAGTGACAGATACTACATGGAAGTCACTTGTTCTCAAAGCTGATGGGCCTGTGCTGGTTGAATTTTGGGCCCCGTGGTGCGGGCCCTGCCGAATGCTCCATCCGGTGGTGGGAGAACTAGCGGACGAGTACGCTGGGAAGATTAAGTGTTTCAAACTGAATACCGATGAGAGCCCTTCCATTGCTACTAAATATGGAGTCCGTAGCGTACCCACGATCATGATCTTCAGCAATGGCGAGAAGAAAGATTCAGTCCTCGGTGCAGTGCCAAAAACAACCCTCACAACCTGCATAGAGAAGTTCTTGTGAAAGCAAATAGTGATGTGTAAAAGGTGAATTGGCTAATATATTTGATTTTGCAGAGTTTCATCTGTCTGTGTTAGTGTTTACCTAGAATTCAATGATGTTTTTCTGTCTGGTGTGGGACAACAACAGAGCCCCAAGAAAAATAAGAAATTTTATATGATACCATTAGCTGGGTGGTGGATACTTTTCAACCGTTCTGAGCATGAATAATACAGCTTTCCCCTTTTGTCAATGTATCAGTTTGAAATATGCAAATCAGCATTGGCTCTTCCTGGCCCATCGTGCCCAGCTCTTCTAGGACTTTGCTTTGCAATCTTCCCCGTATCTAGAAAACTTTAGATCTGACCAGGTCTTCTTTAGATCAGATTCATGACAGCCATCTAGATTGAGTTGAATTGAAGATCACTCTCTCAAATTGGACTTTGTAGCTGCCGACACCGAGGAACAGGAACTCATGCCTCATTCTGTGATCCTCATAGATCCTTCAACATCCTAAGGGATATTGCATGTTAAGCAGGACCATGAGTAGGAAAACTACTGCTTTCTAGAAATTTAGAGGTGGGGGGATGGAATCTGGGAAGCTCGGACACTCGCCGGGGGCTTCATCCACAGACACTCTCCGGGGGCTTCCGTGTCGTGTCGGACACCGACACTTGTCCGACACTCTTTTTTTTGTTATTTATTTATTTGTGGATTAGAATCAAATTAATTTGATTGCAATAATCATAAAAATGATAATTTATCATGTATATATATAAAAATATACATTTAATATATAACGTGTCCCAACGTATTGGAATTCTTATTTTTTGAGAAATGACGTGTCGGCGTGTCGTGTCTTATTGCGTCGTATCGCGCGTTGCGTGTCCGTGTCGGTGTTACTTAGGATGAAATCACTGTGACTCAGAAAAAAAAAAAGTCTCACAATGAAATTAATTAACACTTTCCCCCACTCTATAATTAACACAGTAAGTAAATCTTGTGAATTGCCAGAGGATGTCAATTCCATCCCGTCAGAACATGTGGATGTGCATGTGCAGCTTTGAAAACAACAAAAAAGGGGCGGAGGGGGATTACCATAACAAGGTGGTGGAGGCAGCATCAAAGCCTAGTCAGCTCAATTCCTGAAGGCATGATCTTATCTCCATAAACAGTGGGGCCAACATGCAAGGAAGGATACGACACCGCCTATGTCCTTGGATTTGATTGGGTGAACAAGACAACAAGAGAGAAATTTTCTGCCTTTTTTTAGTGAACCTTGGCAATGTTTCGCCAACAGATGTCTTCCCACCTTATCATAAAATTGATAATGATCCCATGTTTCGCCAGCTTGGATGATCTCATCTTCTGATACCGGAAACATAGCTTGTTTCATCGGACCTTTACTTTCTCCTGTCAATCACGCAACATAATCTTGGTAAACATCAATTCTTTTTGGCCTTCTCTCGGAAAATTGGGTCGGGGGTTGTGATGCTCTAGCTGACCTCAATGTGTTTGCATATAAAAATTTTCTGGTGATGCACTGCCCACTTGTAATCTGGGTAAGCGTGGACCGAATGGGCCATTGTTTAAGCGATTGCTTAGCTCAATGGTGGAAATTCAGACATTAGTTAGACCGCTACTTAATAAACAAAACCACAAACTTAGCTGCACCCCCATTGTTATATGGGTTTGACTCTTTGCTAATGCTATAAAAAAGTCGATATAATTTATCTCAAACTCCTTTTATGAACGGTTCGGCTATATAATAATCTAGTCTTCCTCCAACCAAATTGAAAAGGAAAAGGAAAGGAGTAAAAATAAACACATCTTGAAATTTCTTAGCTCTATTACATAACCGAGGAGGTTGACCTTGAATTAATCAAATGTGGGGATAGCGTATCTTCCTCGCCATCGGAGATTGGACTAGGTATAGCCTCGTCAGCATTTTATAGCTTGCCACATGAGATGGAATACGACAATAATCACTCGTTAATTAATTTTCTTAATTAGATTCTTATATGGTCGGCCGGGTAATAACGAGCACCTACTTCGCATCGGTAATACCAAACTATAGTTGCGCATAGAACTACATAGCATGCTCAATTCGCTCAGCAGATCAAAAGATTGACGAAATTAACGATAGCTCAAGACTAAGACCAAAGAAGACGTCGGCCCACGATCTTTCCCTTAGCTTATCCTATCAAAAAGCAATCAAATGCTAACTAGTCTTCCGCGATCTAATCCTTTACGAGACACTTTTCGATCCACCCAACTCGGTCTTTCGACGCATGTCATCGGTTATCGACTTGATACATTACACTTTGAGGCACTATCTTTCTCCAGATCTTTCGGTCAAACTTGCTGATTCAACTCAAAGGATGGCAAGTGCAGCGGATGGCCTCTCGAGCAAGTTGAACGGCGGCTTTTGCTCAAAATCTGCAGATCACCAATCATTACTCTTATCGCACGGCACGGGCCTCTCTTTAAACCAATATTATTATACTTTGTCTCCATCGAAAGGAAAATAAACATATCATATTCAATATTCATCCGGTCTTTCCCAAGATAAGCACCTTGTCAGCATCTATTTCAGGAAAAATAAAATTAAAAAAAAGGAAAGAAAAAACACAATAACGCAAAGCTAGATATAGATAGAGAGAGGAGAATATATATAGCTGTTAAAATAATTATTGTGAAAAAGTGGAAGAGCAAAGAAGAAGACCCTCCATTGTGATGTGTGTGTGTGTGTGTGTGTATATATATAGCTATTAAAATAAATATTGTGAACAAGTGGAAGAGTAAAAGAAGGAGAGCTTCCATTATGGAAACCTCACTGCCAATTTACCATTGGTCTCTTGGGCGGTGGCTTGCTTTTTTAAGTTGCTTTTAGACTTTTGTATTTTTGGCTGTCGGTCCTACCCAAGTTGCGATCAGCTCTCCTCCCTACGAGATTAAAAGCCACCCGCATAGAGAAAACAAGAAAAGAAAGGCTAAGAAGGAAAGCTCATAGATTAGATTGGGAAAACACCAAAACAATACGTACGTTTTTAAACCCTCTCACCCTTTACATTTGGGTGACCATGGTCCGGATGAATGGTTAAGGATCGATTTCGAAAAATTGAAATCAGGAACCACCCGTTAGTTCCATAGATCCACTCGAGAATCGAACCACCGGTCCGGTTTAGTTTTCAGGTGAGTCCATGGAATCGATTCCACCAAATTTCACATAAATGGAGGTGACCAAGGGCGAAAGAGGGAGGCGATGAACGGCCGGATGCGCGGCCATGAGTTTATTGGAGTTGAAAGTCGAGACTGTGAATCGATGGGCGATGAGCTTAAGTCAAGACCATAAATGAGAGATAGAGAGACGACTTAGACAAAGTAAGAATGAGAAACACTTAGTTGATTGGCGTTGAGTTTTAGATTAGGGATTTTAGGATTTTCATTTTTATTAAAAGGTTTTCTTTTTTTTTTTTGAAAATTTTTCTTAAAAATTATATATATTACCGGTTCGATCCGAGTGGGCGGTTCCATACCTAGAACCGGAAACCGAACCGGTGCTCACTGATTCTAATAAATTCGAATCGAGAGCCGCCGATTCCGATCCGGTCCAGTCCGATTTCAGGTGGTTTCCGATTCCTTTGCACATCCCTACTTTACATATCTCTATACCATTCACAATACTCCAAGCAGTAAAATTTTGAATCGAAAATACCCAAATTACTCGTCCTTGCAAACTCAATTTAGCATCTTGCCCCGAGGGTCTTGATGATTGGTCGCTTTGAATGTCTCGAGGGACCATGGGGATTTAGGGTTTGTGATGTGGGGATTTTCGGAAAGAAGTAGATATTCTCGCACATGAGAACGTAAGGATAACCGATGTAAAGGTGCAAAGTCAATCTTTAAGGTAACACTCGTATAAGCATTTGATATTTTCCAAAAGTAGAAATATGTAAGTGGCCCTCAAATGAAAGGTAAAATCACCTTCTTGATGTTTTTCCAATTATGTTATATACGTGAAGGACCATGATTGATCGGTAGTTACCATGCGATTCGTACTTGGACAAGTGCAACGTGATGCATGCTCCGAAAGTGCTCTCCTTCTAGATTAACTTTATATGCACAAACGCACCCTTTTAGATCACCTAAATAATGCTCTTGCCTAATTCGCATTTGTATATCAACTTGGGGGTCATTATCAAGAGTGTGAAACATCCTTAAAAGTCGTAGGAGTGAGCTTTGTGTCCCGATCAGCTCTATCATCGCCCCGACAAAACTGGGAGTGTCATCTTGCTCTTTTGCAGCGTTGAAAAGACAAAAGGCACTTGTAGTGAAGTGGACAAGGAATCTTAAACAACCGAGCACGTGTAGAGGAACCCGACACGACCATAGCTTCTTCTAAGTCTTAGGGTTGATGGGCACGATAATGATCGAGCCTGTGAAAAAGTTAGCCAACTTTTTGCTTTTGGAATCGAAACGCATCACACACAGAAGGGCCCCGTTTGATCGTTAAGTGATTCTCAAAATATCCTAATGTCTTTTCCATTTTATGAGGAAAAAGAAAAGTCTACGAGAACGCGTTTCGCAGCATTTGTAAAAACGCCTTTCGAATGACCTGACGTGATTGATTTAGTGGTTAAAGACCCACTATTATGTGGGAATGAGGAGCACGACATATGATAAACTCCCCCACGTTGCTAAGTGCGAACAATTCCAGGTTTAGACCTCATCCGCTTGGTTTTTGGCTCTCGCTACTTCATTGGACTATGAAGCCAAGTATATCACGAGTCGGCCGGAGCTGAAGGTGAGTTCCTTGTCGTAGAAAAAGGAAGAAAAAAAAGGTACATTATAAATCCCGTTAGTTTCTATTAAATTTTACTATTAAATTGCTGAATTGGATGACATGTGACAGTTAACAGGTGTTCTGATTTGGAGCTTTACCCACCATTTGTTACAGGTGTGCCAATTTGTGATTTTTCGTGTTATTAATCTAATTTAACAAAAACTAACGGATGGTAAATTTAATATACCAGCTTGGGATTTTTGTTGATCAAAAAATTAGTTTAGGATAAATTTGTCACAAGTGTACCGGTTTAGAATTTTTTGTGATTAAAAAATTAATTTGGGGTAAATTTATCACAGATAGACCAGTTTTGAGTTTTTCATAGTGGTAACCCTTGTTTTTTCCCACTTAAGTGAAATAATAAGAAGGATTATCGGGGTCTCTTAACTTAATTGACCTCTCTCTTA